GCGGTTTCCTCATACATCACCACTACATGCGGTGACGGGTGCGCAGATTACTCAGGACGCAGTGCCACGTGGCATTCGGTGGCTTCCGGCTCAGACCCGTCAGCATGGAGATCAGTTCTACTTGTACAAGCTGTGGTTTGACGAGTGCACGACATTCGTGGTTAGTATATAACATTTAGTTTTATAGAATAGTTTTAATTGATTTATTATAGATTTAGGAGTAATTATGTGACCAATCCTTGTGTGCAGTGGCGTCCGTACTTTCATAGAGGTCTGGACTACAGCGGTACTGTGATCCAGTCCCACACGTTTCGAGCAGTGGTTCCGCTGATCTGCTTCTCATCGCAGATGTGGCATCATCCAGATCGCGTGCTAGGACAGTTTGGAATGGTTCAGGACCGGCCTCATCCTCCACATTCCGCGGCTGAGATTAGATTTTTTCTTCGTGTGGGACAGCATGGACCATCACGTGGCCAGCAGTTCTTACAGGCAGCCAGCGAGTCGATTGAGTTGTGGAACCGTCGACATGAGTTCGTAGCGCAGACGAGCTACAGTGACGTGGAATTAGCTTACCACTCGGAGCATCAAGAGTGGTATAGAGATGTCACTAGACGTTCAGGCACACGGAGAGTTGCTGCACTGAACGCAGCGGTGAGTTTTTTTAGTAATTAAAATTTGTGTTTTAATTGTTTTTAGATGTGTGGAATTTCTGATATTTTCCATTTAAATTGCAGTACGACTGCATGGAGACCGTTGAGCAGGGTTTACGTGATGGGATGAGAGCAGGAGGGCTATCATATGACCAGATGGCGGAGTATGCTGACCAGTTGGCGGCAGGTGTTACAGCTATAGGTTTTAGTCATCGCCGACATTCGGATACAGAGCCAGTACAGCGGTACCCTGATGAGCGTAGCTTAGCCAGCTGGCCAGAGCGTAGGACTCAGCCATCGGGCTGGGGCGTGCCACCGCCACAGTTCATAGAGGAGCCCAGGAGGAGGAGACAGCGACGTGAGCAGGGTGACGTACCTCGTGGAGTGAGGTACTCAGATCGTCAGCCAGTCAGACCTACTTCGACCTTCACATTCCACCAGCCTTCTCAGCCACCGTTACGGCCAGGCGCTTCTACCGGATTTCAGGCAGGCACCAGTTCTTCTAGCCCTCAGTTTCAGGCCCAGGAGGATAGCTTTCACACACCTCAGCATGCTACGATGGGAGGAGGGCACATGGGATCAGGTAGTACAGTCCTGCCACATTTGGACGTCGACGAGTGGGAGCGTGTCGATCTGCAGATGCAGGATCAGGACTTCCAGACATCTCATTGGGCATATGAGCAGCAGCGACGAGAGGGTCCACCGGATGAGCAGGTTCAGTCCCAGGTGGATGATATGTTCGGCACACAGGATCAGGATGATGGGGCGGAGAGAGCTGAGCAGTTGCCTCCACGAGACAGGAGGCCAGCGAGGTGTGGTACTGGCGGCCATCTAGTGGCAGAGCACGGTGGTCGTCGTGGTGGTCGGCGCGGTGGTCGTGGTGGTCGTTAGTGTATTTATGTACTATGTTGAGATATCTATTATTATTATGTTCTTTATGACTATGAATTATTATTATGTACTTTCGTTCTTGAGACTATTTATTATTATGTACTTATTTTTTGGACTATTTTTAATTTCATGCGGACTAATTCATGTTATTGTTGTTGTCTAAATTGAGACTTTAAATATAAAACCAACAAATTCCAAAAGCTAGTTCAGTTCATAAAAGTCCAAACAACAACTGCTTCAAACAACAACAACTCCAAAAAACAACAACTTCAAACAACAACAAGTCCAAACAACAAGTCCAAACAACAACTTCAACGAGATAAATCGAAAGAAAAACAACAACTGCTACATTCAAACAAACTTCTCAGCCACGTCTATTCCCTCTACTTCCTCCTCTTCTACCACCTCTCGCACTTCGTTGGCCACCACTCCCTCTTCGGTTGCTCCCACTCCCACTTGCTTGGCCACCACAGGTTGATGCATTATGTCCCGCTTGGTTACAGTTGCTACACACTTGCTGTGATGAACCCTCCCTTGGCCAATCCATCTCGTTGTGAATTCGTGTTGATCTTGGTCTCCCCGGCTTTCTAATCATGTCCAGATTAGGATGGAGAGTAGTGTCATTATGCTTCTTCCAACCCTTAGGTTCACCAAGAGGAGAGAAACTTGTCCCATAACAAGCAAGCACTGTTCGAAGCTTGTAGACGTCGTTTACAAACCTATATGGATGGGCTCCCATTCGGTTGCAAGCTGCAATGGCATGAGAGCAAGGAATTTTATTTCCTTGAAATTTCCCACAAGTGCAAAATCCCGTCCGGTTGTGGTCGTCAAAGTGCACTGTGAGTGTGTTTGACCCCGTCATGTTTAAATTGTTGGGGGGAGTCTGAACTACATAGATGCCTTGACTTCGATCAAGAGCTGTCACAGAATGCCCAACTGCCTTTTGTGACCACGGCTTCATCAGTTCTTCGCACTTGGTGGAGTACTGTGAAGGACCACTCCTAATTTCTGCTCCTGTCTCCAACCTGTACTTATCGAATTTCTCCACCAATCGCCAATAGGTATGTTGCACAAGAGAAGCTATAGGAAGTGCACGAATACCTTTGAAAACACCATTGATGCTTTCTGCCATGTTGGATGTCAGGATAGACCAACGACGCCCACCATTGAAGTTATCATGTGCTAAACTCCAACGAATCTGATGTTGGTCCACCCAGTTATCACATGAAATATTTCTATCAGTGGCCACCTTCTTAAATTGCTCAACTTGACGATCGAACTTCTCCAAGCGTTTTTCTCCGGCTAACAAAATAATCAACCACACGGGTTAGATAAATTCATGACAAACTTACCTAAAAATAAATAACAAAATTAAATGAAGAAGGCTTACCGACTCGAAATAGTTGCTTATACATAATTCTGCTTTTAGTCTTCCTTTGCAAATTGCTTGCATAGTGTCGCATGCACCACCTCCACTCCCAACCTCTTCCGATGTTATTCATGGCTTCATAGAGTCCTGCATGTCTATCTGAGATGATGCATACATCATTTCGATCAGTCAAACCCTGAACGTGACGTATGAACCATGGCCAACTATCAGTATTCTCACTCTCCACTATGGCAAATGCAATTGGAAAAATCTTCTTCCGGCCATCAAATGAGCTCGCCATGAGTAGCACTCCTTTATACTTCCCAGTAAGAAATGTCCCATCAACAACAATGACGCCTGGACAATACTTGAATCCATCTATACAAGGTCCATAAGCCCAAAATACTCGCTGAAATATCGAATGACCTGGTTGAGTCGAAGGAACTCTTACCCAATCAATCACCGATGTTGGCATTTTTCTCTTGACCACCCGCAAGAATGTCTGCAAAAAATCATAGGATTCTTCCCAATTTCCATGCAACTTCTCCAATGCTCTTTGTTTCCCATACCAAGCCTTCTTGTAAGTAACTTGCATATTAAACTTATCTTTCAACTCGGCTTGCACAGTTAGAACACTCAGATTTGGTTGGGCACGTACCAAATGTTTGACGGCCTCAGATATCACGTCGACATCAAGATGGCGATGATCCGTCGGTTGAGTCGTACTGCTACAAGTATGCACCAACTCGACCTTTCTCACGCTCCAATCGCCTCCCACATCTCGACATCCAAACCGCACCATCCAAGGACATTTGTCCTCCTTGTGCATCAAACATCTGATCTTCCAGATTGAAGGTGACGACTCCACCACGTTATACTGAAAGTTGCGTTGTAGTGCATAGTGCTTAATCGCCACCTGTGCAGCTTGTTTCGAGTGAAATATCTGCCCCTTGTAGAATTCTCCATCAAAACCACCAACAGTAGACCCTGGAATTACGCCATATGAATCAGCATATGATAATTCCTCGTCCTCTTCATTACCCTGCAAGTAAAAATATGGAGGATAATTAGGTAGTTCTCCTCCCTCCCCGTCGTCGTCGTCCTCCTCCTCCTCCTCGTCTTCCTCCTCCTCCTCATCTTCCTCCTCTTCGTCATCATCGTCATCAAAGGCAGGATCGGATGGCACGCTCCATGTATCATCACCGTCATCATCGTCTTCCTCTCCATCCCGATCCTCACTGAGCTCAGCATGTATCTCAGCACCCAAACAATAAGAATTTTGTGCCATAAAATTCCAAAGCACATTTAAGCTATCATCATCGACAATAGGCATTGCATGATGAAATAAAACACCATTTTGCCATTCTGGAAGACAGTAGGTGAAACCTGTAATCACAACACTATCTTGTACTGTTTCGTCTCTAATCCGTATTCTCCGAATTAGATGATCACAAAGTTTCTGATAGTTCACCCTGGATGGAATAGTAATCTGGAAACTTAAACCACCAACAAAATGGACACCCAAATTGTCTTCTACTTTCTCTGATCGCCACCGAACAGCTAGTTCAAATCTCCTAAAACCACTACATTAAAAACAAACTCTAATTACTAATTGGACAAAATCATTATGATGAATACATGGAAAAAAAAAATTACGACTCTTACCTGTTATCAGCCATCTTCCCAGCAACCAGACAGCAACACCAGAGCTTCTCTCAGAACTTCTTTCAGTTTTTTGGTGATGAAGAACCGAAGGAAAGGTGCAGTATATATAATGGAATGGGAGGTGCTGGAGTGGGAAAAAATGGCAGCGACGAAGCCCCAGTCTGGGGCGCCGACGCTTTTTCTATCTCCAAAGCGCCAAAGCCCCAGTCCGGGGCGCCGGCGCCGAGTTTTTTTTTTTAAAAAGCATCTAGCGCCGGCGCCCCGGACTGGAGCTTCGGCGCTTTCAACATATCAAAAAACACAATATTCCTGTAAATAGTTTTAAAACCACTATATTCGTGGTAAATTAAAAAAAAAAAACAATATTCCTGAAAATAACCCCTTTCCATGCATTTCTCATTTTCACATAAATAAATAAATAAAAACTATCCACAGAGCTCCTCCTCCACCAATTCCTCGAACCTCTCCATCGCGGAAACCGGCAGGGCAACGAGCACGTTAAAGCTCCCTTTCTCCGTCGGATGCCCCAAAACGACAATCGTGTGTGCAGTCTCCACCGGCTCGCTCAGAAACGGCTCCCCCCACCCAAAATCCGTCGAAGAGAACGACAAACTCGACCACTGCGACACCGTTATCACGCCGTAGCCATTAAACCGCTTCTTCTCTCTCGCCGCCTCGCGGTAATCGATCGCCGACCTCAAAAGCCCGTCGTTCACGCTTCTAACCGCCTCCTGAATTCTCGCTACCGCATAGGAAAGCGGCTTCTCGATCAGCTCCCCCGCCAGGCTGTGCGCCGGGGCGAACTTTATCGCGTTCCCAAAATACCCTTTCGGCAGAGGCGGCTCGAATTTCCCACGTGTGTTGACGACCAATAGGATTCTCGTCAGCTGATCCGGCTCCATCTCGAGCGCGCGTGTCCGGGCTCTCCACACGAAGGCCGCGAGGGCTTCGAAGGTGGAGCATGGTTTGGTTAGGGTGGTGGTTGGTCCGGTTCGGCCGGTTGTTTTCGATTTTGCGGTTTGGATTATTTGTGGGGTGAATTTGATGTATTTGCAGATTGTGTCTTTGTCGTTGTTGATGGCGGGTGATGAGGATTTGTCCTCGATGGGGATGAATTCCGGGTGGTGGAACTCGATTTTCGGCGGGGTTCGAGCTCGGAGGATTGTCCTGTCGAGGAATGGCGGGACGGAGATGGGCAGACCTCTGGCGGTTTCGGCCCAGGAGACGATGAATTCCACGGCGGCTTGGCCGTCGACGAGTACGTGATTGAAGGAGATTCCTAGCACGAATCCTCCGCACTCGAACTTGGTCACCTAATGTTGAGAAAAGATGACCAAAATTCATGTAGAGTTAATATAGAGAACATATTTGTATCACATATTTGGTAAACTATATTGCAAGGCTAGGTTTTAATCTATCAAAATATAAATGTATAGTACCATAGTGAATTGATTTTTGGTCAGTCGTGGGGCTATGATGGAGGTGATTATTATTTATTTTTTTGAATATTCTTTGCCTGTATATATCGTGTTTTTTGCTCCTCGGAATTTTCTAGAATTGCCTCTTAATAATAATAAAAAAATTCTTTCACACCGATAATTTGGTTGCTTACGAACTATCACGTTTGAGTGGTGTCGATTATGTAATTTAGGGGTCGTTTGGAGAATATGAGTTTAAATCTACAGATTGTAAACAATCTAAAGATTCTAACTCTCCAGATTGTTGAAAACAGATTTTAAAACATTTATTGTTTGGTAACTGTGATTGTTAGCATTCAATTAAAATAAAAAACTTAATTTTATATTTAAATAAAATTTGTATCCTTAATAAAAAAATTAGAGTGGTTCACTAAATATTAAAAACTTTGTTGATAAATATATTTCATGTGATAAATAAAGAAAAGTAAGAAAAAAACTAGGAGGAAAAAAATCTCATGAATCAAGATATAGAATCTCTCTGATTATGAGAGATTTGATATCCGCAAATTTTAGAGATTTAAAATCCCTAAAGCTAGAATCCACCATAACATACAGAAAGCAACAAAAAAAACACAACTTTCTATAAAATCTACGAATTCAATAAATCCATGTCATGAATCCTGTTCTCCAAACTACCTTTAGTTCTCTCTGTTATCAACTTCTTAGTGTTCAGAAGAAGATATAGAACACAGAGAAAGTTTGTGCGAAAAAGGAGACCAAATGTTTTTCTTACCTGGGCCATCAGAGGGATCTCGAATTTGTTCCTTACGCCTTGAACGTCATAAAGAACGAGCTTGCCACGTGTAACCTTATCCGGCTTCGAGAAATCCACGTCATCCAACGTACAATCCGCCTCCGCCTCCACGAACACAACCCCTTCGCCGGTGCAGTTCACTGCGAACCTTCCCTCCGGCGATACGACCAGCCGGCCGGCGAGAGGGTAGTAGTGGACAAGAACCTTGCTCAATGCGTTCCTGATCACTTCTGCGGCTGCCGGGCCGCCGGACTTGAAGCAGTAGAGCGTGCGGGTGATGGTCAAGTCGTCGTCGACGTTGGAGAGGAAGTAAAGATTTCCTTTACCGTTCTCCGCCGCCGGCGCTGGCTGGACCAAACTTGGCTTTCCTTTCTTGACTTGGAAGGAGCCGTGTGGGTTTTGTTTCCCGTTGTGAACTTTCCCGACCATTTTGGTATATTTTGCTTGGGATTTTGGTTTTAGGAGTTGTGTTGATTGGTATTTGAGTATGTGAGGTGATGTTGGGTGGCCTTGATTGTGGTAATGGTTGGATATATATATATAGGGAAATGATACTTCGAGAGAGGGTTTCGATTGAACTAAATGTAAGAGTTAGGGTTGTGTCATATCGGACCAAACCGTAGTTTAGATCGGACTTATCAAATCTAGTATCATACGGTTCGGTGTTTGGTTTTATAAATTTTATAATTAATTAAGAAAATATGAACCGAATTGATAATTGGACCGGACCAAACCGGATCATATACACTGGATGCAATGATGATCCGGTTCTTAATTCTAAAATATCTTTCACAAGTGGACCGTGGTTTTCATGAATTTGATCCGGACCGAACCCACCTTTCACACCCCTAGTAAGAGTATAATAAATGGAACATAGCTAATTGAACTAATGCAAATTAGTTAGAAATCTAATTTGATTTTGCTTCCCAATCGTTTTTTTTTTTTTTTATGAATGGGCATTAATACTGTTTAAGAAACCATCCAAGAATGTAAAGACATAAATCGAGTACACTATTCCTATTCGGATTTCGGTCAAAAAGGGATCTCATGGGAGAAAAAAAAAAGAGGTTAATTAATTTAGTTTTGTCTTTACGAAGTTGAACCTATTCAAAAGTAGTACATATACCGCTTTGTAATTATCAAGGCTTTGGTGTTTGTCCCAAACCCAAAAGTAGGTTCACGATTTCCGGTGGTATAGTTTACTTTTAACATTAAACCAAGGGCTAGCTAGCTCCATCGGTGGAGTATCTATGTGCTTAAATTTGTCATCATATCCACGTAATTTTTGTGGCTTGAAAGAATCTTTCTGCACTTTCCATTATTCAGCAACACTGACTTCTTGGCTTGAAAGAAGCTGTTAACTCCCCAAATAAAGACTCATCTTTCAAACATATTCCGCCGCAGATTGTTATCAATCAACGAAAAATAATCAAAGGCATTCATCACGATTAACGATTTACTCAACAATCCATTTAAGCAATTCTTAGAATTTTTCTGAACGACTGCATAATATCCATCATCTTTGTTCAGTGGTACAGTCCTATTGATGTGACTTGCAGACTATCTGGCTACGACTGTCAAATTAGACGGTCAACTCCATTGAGCATTAGTCAAGCGCCAAGTCACTTGCCACATCAGCAAACCCGAAATAAAAATTTTGGATTTTGAATTGATTTAATTTTTCTTATTTTCCAATAACAATAATAATTAACGAAGGAAAATCCAAAATAATTACAAAAATTCAAAAATAATTACAGAAATTCAAAATCCAAAATTTTTTTTCCGGGTTCGCTGATGTGGCAAGTGACCTGGCGCTTGACTAATGGGCAATGGAGTTGATCGTCTAATTTGACGGTCAAAACCTGGGCCAAGCCAAGCAAAGAAGTATGTTGCATAGTTCGGGCCAATGGAGCAATTTCAAAAACCAAGAATCAAAGTAAAAAGATTGGTTATAATTCAGGACAGAATAAGGTATTAACCCTTTTTAATTCAACGAGAATCTGCCACTGGTTACAATGTTATTAATCTTTGCTATGGATGCCCATTTTTTATTTTCGAAGCAATTGAAAAATTAGACTTTTTTTATGGTAAAAACTAAGAAGTTGTCTTGCTATCAAGTAAAATTGATACTAGTATTGGTTAATTCACAGGATATTCATATATAAGCATGGTACAAATATATGTTAAGAGGATAAGCTAGTTATTGTGATTCACAGGCCAACCGACCTAGTTAGTATAAGCTAGTTATCATTTGAGTTTGACCTTTGTTTATTGTGATAATCTATAAAATTTTGGACATTCCACCAGACCCACCCACCACCAGTGACTTAGATCGGCCCACTAGAAGAACCCAAGCGAAGGCACCTGGTCCATCATTCCCCTTTGATCTGCACTGAACAAAATGGGCTCAGGCCCGTAACATCCCTCATCAGAGCCGAGAATATCGTCCAAGCTCCCTCCGTTCTTCTGCGTCAACATGAGTCCGGATCTAGTGACTAAGGGGGGTGTTTAGTCACATGGCTAAGCTCCCCTCAGCCCTTAGATTAAAATGGGTAGATCTAATGGTCCAAATGAAGGAAGGGTTAATAATTAATCAGAGGGGTAGTTTTGGCATTTAAAAAAAATAATTAAATCCTGTTTTCCATTTTATTTATTTTTTCCTTCTTCCCCTCTCCAATTCTCTCTTCCTTTCCCGTTGTATGTCCAGAGAGAGAGACGAGGCTTCTCCAGCAACGGCGAACGGCGAGGCTTCTCCGGCGAACGGCGAGGCGATTCTCCAGCAACGGCGAGCCGATTTCTTCCCGACGAAGGCCAAGCGATTTTTTCTCGGCGATCTGCGAGGCGATTCTCTAGCGAACGCCGCTACGCTGGAGGAGAGAGAGGCGACATCCTTGGAGAGAGAAAGTAGATCTACTCGTCGGAAAACAGAGGAGAGAGAGACGATGGTGAGGAGAGAGAGGCGGCGGAGAGAGCTTCGACGACGATGGAGGAGATAGAAGCGGCGCGGTGATGGAGAGAGAGAGGTAACGACGGCTGTAGAGAGAGTCGACGGCGACGTCGACGGCGGCAGCGGCGGCGGCGTGGAGAGAGATCGTATACGTCGGGTGAAGGAAGAACAGTGATATGTATAGTTTGTATGTTTTGTAACATTAGTTTGTATTGTTAGTATTTTTGTACAAAATGTCAGTATGGTTTGTATGTTTTTCTTTGACAGTTTGTACTCTTAGTATGTTTTTCTTTGACAGTTTGTACTCTTAGTATGTTTTTCTTTGACAGTTTGTATTCTTAGTATGTTTTTCTTTGATAGTTTGTATTCTTAGTATGTTTTGCTTGTATTCTTAGTATGTTTCGCTTTGTATTGTAAGTACTAATAATTTGTATACTTTATATGTATTGATTTGTGATGCAAAAAACATTACAAACATGGTTGACAAAAATGACAAACATGTGGACAAAAATAACAAACATTACAAACAATACAAAAGAAACCAACAAACATTACAAACATTACAAAAGAAACAGTACAAAGCATACTAAACGTACAAAATATCACTACTAACAATACAGATTGATAAACTTGTATTACAAACAAATGAATACAAAGTATACAAATCTTAACATAAAAGTATACAAACTAGAGCAACAAAAATTACAAATTACAATATATACAAAATAGTCATACAAAGATTACAAACAATACAAAAGAAACCAACAAACATTACAAACATTACAAAGCGTACAAACATTACAAAATAACTCGACAAACAGTACAAAACATACTAAACGTACAAAATATCACTACTTACAATACAGATTGATAAACTTGTATTACAAACAAATGAATACAAAGTATACAAATCTTAACATAAAAGTATACAAACTAGAGCAACAAAAATTACAAATTACAATATATACAAAATAGTCATACAAAGATTACAAACAATACAAAAGAAACCAACAAACATTACAAAATAACAAAGCGTACAAACATTACAAAAACCCGACAAACAGTACAAAGCATACTAAACGTACAAAACAATACAAAACATACAAACAGTACAAATCATAACATAAAGTATACAAACTGGAATGATGAAATTACGAAATCGTCGCCGCCGCCAACAAATTGGCGATGTCGGTGTCTCTCTCCTCCTCAACCGCCGCTGCCTCTCTCTCCTCCACGGTCGTCGTCCCTCTCGTCGTTGTTCCTCGCCGCCGCCGTCGTTCCTCGCCGTCGTCGTTGTTCCTCGCCGCCACCGCCGTCTCTCTCTCTTCTCCTCTACCGCCGCCGCTCTCTCTCCTCTACGGTCGATTCGCCTCTCTCTCTTCTCCTCTACCTCCGCCTCCCTCTCTCTCCCCCGAACACAGAACGCCATCGACCCGCCGTCTTCCTTCGCCGTCGTCGTCCCTGGCCACCGTCGTCCTTCGCCGCCGTCGTCCATGGCCGCCGCCGTCTCTGTGGATTCATCTCCGCGTGCGACAAACAGGTGAGGGAAGGACTCTTTTCTTTTTTTTTATTTACAAAATTAAAATGTATAATTACCATGTTGTCCTTCCTTAAAATAAATTAATTATAGCCTTAGGATTTTAATGAGCATAGAAGGCTGAGATTAACTTAGCCAAGTGACTAAGGTACCCCTTAGTCACCTGATCTTAACCCGCGTCAACATCGCAATCCCTACTCTGCAGATGGCGGGAGAAAGCAAGGTTTCATCGACCCGAAAATCGACCGCCGACTAGGGGTGTTCAAATGGTTACCATGGTTATAACCAAACCAAATAAGGCTAAATTCCATTAACCATGGAATACAATATCCTAACCAAACCGTCCAAACTAATACAACAACCAAATTAACCAAACTAAAGTTTAATCGGTTTGGTTAATTGGTTAACCAGATTAACCAATATAAAATCACATTATCATTGACGATGAAAATTTTCCGGTTAATGCAACAATTCATAATTTATATAATGAATAAAATATAACAATAAACACGTAGTTATAGTTGACCCTTAACAAAAATACATGCAACTAAGACAATTATCTTACGATTAGTATAGAAGTATTCACCTAACAAAAATTTATGACAATGGTATGGGTTAATGAATTGTTGTGTTTGTGTAAATTGACTTAGTCTCTTAGCAATTATCATAGGCTGAAAATGGCCTTCCTTTCAAGTTTTCATCCATCATAATGTATGAAATTTATCTAAATTAGGCGTCCATATGTTGTGGTCTACATTTTACATATACAAATATACACTATATGAGCAATATTGAGCTTTATATTTTATGAGTCTAAAAGGGATGAACGTTAACTCTTGAGTGGTTATGCAAAGTATTAAGTATGTGTATATAATATATGTTAGATATATGACTAATTACTTAACTGGTTAATTTGGTTTGACTGGTTAGGAGTGTCTGAAACCAAACCAAACCACCTAAACCAAACAAGCTAAAAACTTTAACCAAACCAAACCAATTATCCAAATTAACCAAACCAAATTATCCAAATAGTACTGGTTAAAACGGTTACCATGGTAACCAAACCGTTTGAACACCCCTACCGCCGACACGTCTTCCTCCAACCCGTTCTAGCTCACGCCCTAGCTCTTTAATAGTAAAGAAACAGCGGCAAAAGGTTCAGGGCGTTGGCGGTTTCAATCTTTCGGGTCTTACAGAAGATTATCCTTCGTGGAAAAGGTGATTACCAATCTATGTACTACTTTGCAGAATTGAGAATCTAGGTATGTCGATGATTCTTGGTATCACCTGTTGATCTGGGGTTAATTGTTTGGATTTTTAGGCAGTGAAAGGATGAAGCGGGTGTGTGAAGCGAGTGCCGATAGAATTACCAACCTTCCCGAGGATGTGTTACATCGGGTTCTGGTGTTTTTACCCATCAAAGACGCTGCCAAAACTAGTGTACTATCAACAAAGTGGAGGCATCATTGGAGAAGTATTCCCGAACTTGTGTTTGATAGTAGGTTCGCCATCAAATCGGGTGGATTTAACACAACTGAGATGCGGAGCAAGTTAATGTTCTACATTTTCAAAGCTCTGCTGCTCCATGATGGCCCAATAGCAAAGTTTGTGCTTTCATTTCCCGGATTAAGTCCCCGCTATGGGAATGAGATTGATGAAGTCCTTCTCTATCTTTCTCACAGAGGTCTGCAGGAGTTGAAGCTTTCCTGTGCTGCTTTTCATGACAAGAAATACAAGTTGCATTCTTCTTTGTTTTCTTGTCTTCAACTGAAGCTGCTGAAGCTTCGGCATTGCGAATTTAGACAACCATCATGGTTTGTGGGTTTTAGTAAGCTTACGGTTCTCTTCTTGTCAGATGTAACTCTGCCCTCTGATTTCTGTGAGAATTTCCTTCTCAAGTGCCCGATGCTTAAATCCTTAAGGCTTACAAACTGTGATGGTCCGAGTAATCTTAACATTGTGGCTCCATGTCTCGAACGGTTCTGTTTCACGTACAGGGATTTACAGAAAATCTGCTTCAACTGTACTCCTGTTTTAGTTAGTCTCAGGCTATGCAGAAACTTCGAAAAGACTGCAGATATGGTAGCTTTACTTGCTTCTATCACAGAACTCCAAGAATTTCGTGTAGACTTTCAACTCCCACAAGTAAGTTTGTTTGTTTGCCCCTCCCACTTACAACCTTCTTTTCCCAATCTTTCGGTTTCTTTCTGGCACTCATTTGGGGTTTTCTCTGAATTAGCACCTTACTGTAGGTGATAGTGATGTTCCCATCAGGCTTCCTACTCCTCTTCACCGGTTAAAACTCCTCCATACCAGGAACCTTGACTTCAGTAGCTTGGAGACGGCGCATTTTCTTGTTTGTTTGATCATCGGTTCCCCCAACTTGCGTGAGCTAACAATTAAGGTTGGTTTGTGTTGCCGGCTACTGTGAAGTTCTATACATGGGTAATTGTGGTCTTTGGCCTAACTTGAGTCCTTGACAAATGCTCTTGCAGCTGGACCCTAGTCAACAAAACCAGCCCGCAACTAATAATGCGGCAACATTCATTGTAAGCCTGTTGGAAGCAGAGTCCCGCCAAGGATCTGGTAGTTGTTGTTTGCAGCAGCTTAGAGAGTTCAGAATCGAGGAATGCCTTGGTACACAGATGGAGCTGGACCTTGTGAAGTTCGTGTTAGCCACCGCTCCAATACTTAAGAGGATTTACATTCCTCGTTTGCATAAACTGTCGTCTGAAAAGGTTATTGAATTCATGAAGGAAGTGAAGAGATATAGGCGGATCTCTAAAGATGTAGAGGTCATATATGACTCAAAATGACAGATATCTTCCGTTGCTTGCGAGGAAGAGGGGCAGGAGCTATTTGATATTTTCATTTTAACTGTTGGGTTGATCTGTTGGATGTAGCAGCAATCAGTGAAAACAGAAGGCTAAACTTCATTTTGTGGAGGTGAATAAATCCACTACGACTTATTATGTTGCAGTGTGGTCCTTAATCTTGTGAACTACCACTTGCACTTGGTATGGTAGCCAATAGGGGTGGCATTGGGTGGGTCGGGTGGATTTTTACCATAAAATGCACCCACCCGCGCTTAAACGGATTGATAATTTTTAATCCACCACCCACCCACACTTAGTCTCGAGTTGGGTCGGGCGGATGGTGGATCATGCGGGTGGGTTTGTGGGTTCACCCACATCGCAATGCATATAATATAAAGGAGTCAACTTGACATGATAATAGGTGAAGAGAATCATCGAGGGAAACCAGAAGTTGAAATAGGGCGAAAAATGTCGAATTAGTTATTAAATTGGACAAAAATTCTATTATGAAAGAGTTTTCTACAGATTGAGACGATTATTAGGTGCAAGGAACTAAGGAAAATAATTTCACAAAGGAAAGAGCGGTGATCTAGGCACAAGAATTAGAGGAAAAAGTAAAGGGAAGAAGAGGGGATCTCTATTTGGAAGGTTGGCTTTGAGGTTCAAACTCCAGGAGCAGTCCGAGTTTATATCTAACGTCTCCACTCTCCTCTCTCACCCACAACCCACCCACCACCCGGCGGATGGCTCCCAGCGCAACCCGTCACCCACCCACAGACCCACCCACTTAACGAAATTCGGGTCAAATACGGATGGGTCGGCCGAAACCCGCGGATGATCCGCTCGCATGCCCAGCCCTAGTAGCCAATTGTATGCTAATGTAGTCATGTAGAAGTTATAGAAACAAAGTTCCTATCGGTTTTTATATTTTGGGATTAGGGTTTATACGATCAGAATTAGAGATTGAGATTTGAATTTTGAGAAGATTAGGGAAGAAAGAGCTAGAATGGTTGGCGGCCTTATTAGAAAGAAAAGACATTTAGGGAGATAATTCTTCTATTACTTTTTGCTTCCTCTGACGAAAGTCCCAGAATACATATATGTATAGTGAAAGACTCAAAATCCTAATAATAAACCTAAGGATTTTGCTACGGTGACATGCATGTCACGGTGACATGCACTTTTCGGTCGACTTCATATAGGATCAGGTCGACCTAATCTGTTGTTTCAGTGTAAAAACAGTTTCATGGTGGCTACTTTGGAGATTCATATCTTATAATTTGCTAGATGGAAATTGGTGATTAAAGGCTTGTTTTGAAGCTGAAGTGTCCCTCTACACATTAAAGTACTTGAGAGCTCAATAGAAAGTCCAGAAGACCATTTTTTAACCTGACCAAAAGGCTATGCCAAAACTGGGAAACTACCTGAAAATGGCTAAGTCTAGCAACGTGTTTGTCAAGCCTACTTTGGAGCTCAATTTGAGTAGCATGGATGCGAGTCAAGTCCAGGGCCTCTACCACGTTAAATTACGTATTTTTTTTATACAAAGGCAAGGCATTGGATGAAAGATTGAATATCTTTAAGGCTTCAAACAAAATGCTCAAAGTTGCTATGAAGACTGTTTTTCTGGCAGCTTGCTTGTGCTCGAAGTCTGTCAGAAAAACAACCTTCGTAGCAACTTCGACCCTTTTGTTTGAAGCCTTATAGATATCCAATCTTTCATCCAATGCATTGAATTTGTATAAAAACATACCTAATTTAATGTGGTAGAGGCTCCTGGACTCGACTCTCATTCATGCTTCTCGAATTGAGCTCCAAAATAGGCTTCACAAACACGTTTCCAGACTGCCATTTCTAGGCAGTTTCCAAGTTTTGGCATAGCCTTTTGATGAGATTAAAAAATGGTCTTCTGGACTTCCTATCGAGCTCTCAATCACTTCAATATGTAGAGGGACACTCCAGCTTCAAAACAAGTCATTAGTCTTCAATTTCCATCTAGCCAATTGTATGATATGAATATCCAAAGTAGGCACCATGAACTGTTTTTACAGTGAAACAACAGATTAGGTCGACCTGATCCTATATGAGGTTGACCGAATCCTAAATGTGGTCGACCAGATTCTATATGAGGTCGACCGAATTCTAAATGAGGTCGACCTAATCCTAACTGAGGTCGACCGGAAAGTGCAAGTCACCGTGACATGCATGTCACCGTAGGCACACCCTAAACCTAATTCTACTAAAACACTACTAACCATATTAATAAAACCCTAATAATATTAATGATGATAAAGATGGAAACCCGAGTAAATCGTGTTTTTATAAGAAGTCACCTACCATAGCAAAGGGCAAATGGTAGTACAACCTAGCATGACCACGTCTGCTTTTGATGTTTGGTTTTGAAATAGTTATGATATTCAAGTGTATCAATATGTCAAGTAATATGACCGGATGACATACTAGTATCATGATTCAGATTTGTTGTAAATGTGGCAATCAGCGCGGGTTCGAGTCCAGTGAAAGAAGAATTTTTCAATTCACCTGTAAACCCCCACTCACCTATACACCCGCGCCGCTGCAAGCGGGTGGGCACTGAGTGTGAACACCAAGCTTGGAGAGAAGGTGAGAAAAAATTGCATGAGGCAGTAACTTTGTTAGAATGTCGGCCAACTGATGAGAGAACATGTGAAGAACTTTGATGACGCCAACTTGAGGTTTTTCACGAACAAGGTGGCAATCAATCTCGATGTGTTTGGTACGTTTATGGAAGGTGGGATTCTCTACAATATAGATGGCAGATTTATTATCACGGTAGAGGCTAGCTAGTTGAGAGTGGGGAACCATGAAGCAGAAGGTACATGAGCCACTGGATCTCACAACTGGTTTAAGCCGAAGCTCGATATTCTTCTTCACAAGAAGATCAAGATACTGTATGTTGCTTCTTGCTCTTCCAAGGAACAAGTGAGTTGTCAAGGTAGATACAGTAGCCAGCGATGGAAAGTTGAGTGTCAATACAAGCTGCCAATCTGGATAAGAATAAACCAGTTATATTTGAGCAAAAAAATTGGAATCTAATTTGTAACGATGAAGATAAAAGCAAATTATGAAAAATAAAAAAACCCAAATCTAATTATGCAAGGTTATCAACTGAGTTAGATTGGGCCTATCTTGCACCCACCACCACTGACTTAGATTGGGCCAATAGAAGAACCCAAGCGAGGCACCTGGTCCATCATTCCCTTAGCTCTCTCCCAACTCCCAAGTCCTTTCCTCCGTTCTGACTTCTGCGTAACATCGCAATCCCTACTCTGCAGATGGCGGGAGAAAGCAAGGTTTCATCAACACGAAAATTGACCGTCGAGACGTCTTCCTCCAAGCCGTTCTAACTCACGCCCTAGCTCAGTAACAACAACGGAAAAGATTCAGAGCGTTGGCGGCTTCAACCTTTCGGGTCTTGCAGACAACCCTTCGTCGAAAAGGTAATTACCAATCTTTGTACTACTTGCAGAATTGAGAAGCTAGGTATGTCGACAGTTCATGGTATCACCGGTTGGTTAGGGGTTAATTGTTCGGATTTTTGTGTAGAATATATATACATAGGCAGTGAAAGGATGAAGCGGGTGTGCGGACCGAGTGCCGATAGAATTACCAACCTTCCTGTTGATGTCATACAGCAGATCTTGATGTTTTTACCAATCAAACATGCTGCCAAAACTAGTACATTGTCAACAAGGTGGAGGCATCATTGGAGAAGCATTCCCAAACTTGTGTTTGATCGTAGGTTCGTGTAAACGGTAATCTGGTAAACGGTTTACCGTTTTACCGAACCGGTAACCGGCGGTAAACGATAAACCGTTTACCGGCGGTATCGGTAGCCGAGCGGGAAGTTGGGGGAGTCGGTTTACCGAAAACGGTATCGGTAAATACCGACGGTAAATCGGTATTACCGATACCGAATCCCCCCTCCCTACTCCCTAGTGTTGCGCCTCAAAAATATTGTAAATAAGAATTAATATAAAATATTACATACATGAATGTAAGTATAGGCCTCAAAAATATTGTAAATAAGAGTTAATAATAAATTATTAATTACTAAAATGATGGAAAAAACTCAAAAAAATCGAAATATTACAACATCACCCCACTTCCAGAGATTCGGTTCGGTAAATATTCGGTAAACCGACCGAAAAATTCGCCCGAAATCGCTTCTCACGGTATTTCGGTAATACCGGTTTGTTACCGTTTACCGGTAATTCGGTAATCGGTAAACCGGTTACAAACCGGTATCGGTAATCGGTAACCAGTTTGGCCAACTTCGGTATACCGAAACCGGTAAATTCGGTAAACGGTAAATTGTTTACCGACCGAATCCCACCCCGTTCGTCATTGGATCGGGTGGATCTATATCAACTGACATGATGAACAAGTCAATGTTCAACATTTTCAAAGCTCTGCTGCTCCATGATGGCCCGATAAAAAATTTTGGGCTTTCGTGTCCCGGATTGAAGTCCTGCTATGGGAATGAGATTGATGAAATCGTTGTCTATCTTTCTCACAGGGATCTGCAGGAGTTCATGCTTTCCTGCGCAGCTGGTGATAGTCAGAAATACAAGTTACATTCTTCCTTGTTTTCTTGTATTCAACTGAACCGACTGAGACTTGACCATTGCGAATTTAGACAACCGTCGTGGTTTGTGGGTTTTAGTAAGCTAACGGTTCTCTTACTGTCAGATGTAACTCTGCCCTCTGATTTCTGTGAGAATTTCCTTGTAAAGTGCCCGATGCTTAAAGACTTGAGGCTTATAGATTGTGATGGTCTGAGTAATCTTAACATTGTGGCTCCATGCCTCGAACGGTTCTGTTTCACGTACAGGGATTTACAGAAAATCTGCTTCAAGTGTACTCCTGTTTTATATTTAGTTAGTTTTAGACTATGCAGAAACTTGGAGAACACTGCAGATATGGTAGCTTTACTTGCTTCTCTCCCAGCACTCCAAAAATTTTCTGTCGACTTTGGACTCCCGCAAGTAAGTTTGTTTGTTCGCTCTCGCTCGTATAGTCTTTTCCCATTCTTTCGGTTTCTTTCTGGTACTCATTTGGGTTTGTCTCTGAATTAGCACCTTGCTGTAGGTGATAGTGATTTCCCCAGTAGGCTTCCTACTCCTCTTCACCGGTTAGAAATCCTCCATACCAGGAATCTTGACTTTAGTATCTTGAAGGCGGCGCAGTTTTTTGTTTGTCTGATCATCAGTTCCCCCAACTTGCGCGAGCTAACGATTAAGGTTAGTTTGTGTTGCGGGCTACTGATAAGTTCTATATTTGGGGTAATTGTGGTCTTTGGCCTAACTTGAGTACATGGCAAATGCTCTTGTAGCTGCACAGAAGTCAGTCATATCAGCCCGCAGATAGCGCTGCGACAACAAGCATAGGAGGCCTGTTGGAAGCAGAGTACCGCCAAGGATCCGGTAATCGTTTTTTGCAGCAGCTTAGAGTGTTTGAAATGGAGGAGTGCCTTGGTACGCAGGTCGAGCTTGACCTCGTGAAGTTTGTGTTAGCCACCGGTCCAGTACTTGAGAGGATTCACATTCCGCCTTCGCATAAATTAACCTCTGAAAAGGTAATCGCGTTCATGAAAGAAATTATGAAATATAAGCGTATTTCTAAAGAAGCAGTGGTTATATATAGGGCTGCAAATGAGCCGAGTCTTTGAGTTTTACCCCAGTTTGAGTTCGAGCTCGACTCGTTTATTAACGAGCCGAGCTCGAGCTAGCTTGTTTACTAAACTCTTGACTATTATTTGGTACTTCAGTTTGTATATCATGATACATATGATTTATTTTGTTAGCTGATATCATATTATACTTTGTTGGTATCATATATCATTTAGTTGATAAATTTTAACTACTCCAAATCATGTTATTTCATAGTAACGAAGCAATCTATGATATATAATTTTTTCTTTAGTAGAAAATAAGATATATTTGCTCACATACTCAACTTTTTAAATTTTATATATGGTGAGATAAATAATTTAACAACCATATGAATTAAAAACATAAGATATAGATTGATTCGTCCATAAGTCAGTAATCGAGTTGGCTCTCTAGCCACATGTTGAGATATATCATGAGCTCTAAACGAGCCAGCTCACGAGTTTAGCTCAACAAGCCACCGAGTCGAGTTAGCTTGCGAGCTTCACGAGCTGAAGAAAGTTTAGCTCATGTTCGACTCGGTTATTAACGAGCCGAGTTTCGAACGAGTTTTTCTCGAATCAAGCGCCGAACCGCTCGCGAGCAGCTCGGCTCATTTGCAGCCCTAGTTATATATGAATCAAAATGACTGAGGTGTAATGCAAGCGCATTAGTCTTTGTATTAACTTCTTGGTGAAGGAATGCTCTCAGGTGGCTTTTTAATGTAATGTCTAGCTTAATTTTGTTTGGTTATCCGTTGACTCGACTCTATGAAGCCAATGCTTAGCTCTTATCAGACTGATACCATTAACGCCACAATTCCCAGCGAATGAGATTGGCACACTAAAAGAACCCAAGCGAGGCACCTGATCCATCATTCCCCTTTGATCTGCATTGAACAAAATGGGCTGAGGCCCGTAATATTACTCAACAGAGGCCATAAGCCCATAACATCGTCCAAGCCCCAAACCATCTACTTCTATGATCTATCTATGATCTATCCCTCCGCACGCCCACTCTTTCCTTTCCTCCGTTCTGCGTCGATATGACAAATTGACAATGTAACAATCCTTGCTCTGAAATGGCGGGAGAAAGCAAGGTTTCATCAACCCCAAAATCGACCGTCGAGACGTGTTACTCCAAACCGTTCTACCTAACGCCCTAGCTCTGTAATCGTAAAGAAACACTGAAAATTTTCAGGGCGTTTGCGGTTTCAACCTTTCGGCTATTGCAGAAGATAACCCTTCGTGGAAAAGGTAATTTACCCATCTGGGTACTACTTTTTGACACATCCTATCTATGCACTACCTGCAGAATCGAGAAGCTAGATATGTGTGAACCGAGTGCTACATCGGATTTTGCTGTTGCTACCCATCAAAGACGCTGTTAAAACTAGCATATTGTCAACAAAGTGGAGGCATCATTGGAGAAGTATTCCCGAACTTGTGTTTGATCGTAGCTTTGCCATTGAGTGGTGTGGATCTAAATCAGCTGGCATGATGAAGAAGTTAATGGTCAACATTTTGTAAGCTCTGCTGCTCCATGATGGCCCAAAATGAAGTTTGTGCTTTCTTTTCCTGGATTAAGGTCCTGCTGTGGGAATGAGATTGATGAAGTCGTTCTCTTGTCTTTCTCAAAGAGATCTCCAGGAGTTCATGCCTGTCTTTGCTGCTCGTGATAGTCAGAATCAACTGAACCTGCTGAGTCTTAGGCATTGAGAATATAGACAACCATCGTGGTTTGTGGGTTTTAATAAGCTTACGGCTCTTTTATTGTTAGATGTGCTGCTGCCCTCTGAATTCTGCGAGAATTTTCAGACAATATAGGTATGAGCAGTAGACAGTTTCTTGTCTTCCATTTCCCCTAACTCTGCTGACTCATCTCTGTCCCATTTCTGGTTTTAGCCCAAAGGACTAGGGGGATGATTTTGCTCATGAAAGTACCCAGCTTCCTTTTGGACGCACACCACTTTCGAGCTTTGAAGCCAAAGAATGTGTGTTGTTTTTGCACAAGACGTTTGCTCCAACAAGCTGCCGACTCCTTTGACTATGGCAAAATTTTGCAACGTTGCATCGTGCGAGGTGCTAGAAAGCATGGCCTTTTAGCTCACTCTCATATGATAACAAGTGGGTTTGCCTCAAATCCCCATTCAAACAGCAAATTAATCTCCTTCTACGCAAAGGTTGGTGATGCCAGAGCTGGTCGGAAAGTGTTTGATAGTATGACTGTAAGGAATGTTGTGTGCTGGACGGCTCAGATTTCAGGTTATGGACAAAATGAGTGTTATGAAGATGCTCTGCTGCTGTTTTCAGAAATGCATAGAGTGGGGGTCAAGGCCAATCAGTTTACTTATGGTAGTGTGCTAAGGGCGTCTTCTCGTTTGCAATGTTTCAAGAGAGGGCTGCAAATACAGAGTTGTGTACAGAAGAGTAGGTTTTTCAGCAATTTGTTTGTGCAAAGTGCATTGATTGATTTGCATTCTAAATGCGGAAGTATGGAAGATGCTTGTTATTTGTTTGAGACAATGCTTGACAGAGATGTGGTTTCTTGGAATGCAATGATTGGTGGGTATGCTGTTCAGGGTCTTGGTGATGATTCTTTTCGACTGTTTCATGCCATGATGACAGAAGGTATGAATGCTATATTTGCCAGTGATTTTGTTGCAATCGTGTTGATACTATTTGACATAAATGTATGGCCTTCCACTTCAGTCATCTGGTTTTTGCTTAGTGTGTGTAGCCAAATCTAATCTATTATACTGACTTGCCATCCAATAGGTTTGCTACCTGATTGCTTCACTTTAGGAAGTCTTTTGAAGGTGTCTGGAAGAACTAGTGATTTCCTCAAAGTCAGTAAGCTACATGGATTCGTTGAGAAACTAGGTTTTGAAGGGAACCTTGATTTGCTTCGATCAATTATCGATGCCTATGCAAGATGTGGGGGCCTAGAGAGTGCTAATTGCTTGTACAATACTATGGAAGTGAAAGATATAGCATCTTGCACAGCGTTGATGAATGGATTAGCTCGAAACAACTATAGAACAGATGCTATGAATCTCTTCAATGAGATGCGTAGGATGCAGCACATGAAAATTGATGACGTCATGCTATGCTCTGTGCTCAATATGTGTGCTAATGCAGCATCATTAACCATAGGGAGACAGCTTCATGCCTTTGCTGTTAAAAATAAACCCAGTTATGATGTGGCGGTAGGAAATTCTCTCATTGATATGTATGCAAAGTCGGGAGAAATTGAAGATGCTGACCGTGCTTTTGGTGAGATGAGGGAGAAAAATGTCATATCATGGACATCGCTGATTAGTGGGTATGGAAAACATGGATATGGAAGCAAGGCAATTTCATTGTGCAAGGAGATGGAAGATGAAGGTTTAGTGCCGAACGACATTACTTTTTTGTCTGGTCTCTTTGCTTGCAGTCATTCTGGATTAAATAAGGAAGCATTAGAATTCTTCAATAGCATGATCAACAGGCACAATATCCTTCCGCGAGCTGAGCACTACTCTTGTGTGGTTGATCTCTTTGCCCGTGTAGGGCAGTTAGAAGAAGCGTACGGTATAATTTGTAGGAACAATATTACACCGAATTCCTCATTGTGGGGTGCTATTCTTGGGGGATGCTTTTCATATGGTAACGTCGTCCTTGCTGAGACTGTAGCTATGCATCTCATTAATCTGAATCCAGATATTTCAGTCAATTATACAGTCTTGGGGAATATATATGCTACAGCTGGCCTATGGCATAAGAATTGCAAGATCAGAAACTTGATGAGCCAGAGAAATTTGAAGAAGACTCCAGGTTACAGCAGTGTAGATTCTCCAAGGAGCATTTACCTTACATAACTAACTTGAGGAGGCAAACCAGGATGCTGCAGTCAAAATCTGTTTGTGACTCTTGTGGAAACAGTAAGTAAGCCAGTTAGATACAAGTATACTTGATCGTGTGATATACGCTAAATCTAGTCTAATGATTACTTCTTTCATATGTGTATATGTTATTGGGGTCTCTTGCATGTATTGTTCTTTCATTTGTCTTCTTTGTTTGAAGGTTCTTGTATGTAGAATGGGCAACTTTATGGAGACAAAAAAATATATCAGAAATGTGTTCCGGAATGAGGGAATCTTTGTGGTGGTTAATATCTTGCTTGATTTCCCAAGTTAGTTCTTATGTTATTTTAAGAACTATAGGGATCTGGTTTACATGGTTACATTAGAGAAGTGAAAGCAAATTGTTTTCTAACAGCTAATCTATATGCATAAATTGTAACTGGGGAGTAGGACAGCCTGTGGGTTGTGTTTGTATTCTGGCGCTCTGGAAATCTCAGAATCTAGTTGATTTTGAGCTGACTCAGTGGCAGGTTGAAGCATCGGAGGTTAGTTGTTGGCATCAGGCGGAGGAGCTCCTTGAGCTCCAGGGTGACGTTAGGGCAACTAAGCCACGTGTGGAGGATGCAGCGGGCCTGGGATGGGGAGATGTGTGGCGTGCTTTGGTGGTTCGTGTGGATGGTGTGGTCTAGAAAGGGTCTCATTAAGGAGCTCTCACATGCCCTCAATCAACTATATACCCAAAGCAGGCGTCGACAATGGCCCCCCAGGATGGGATCGGCTCCGGGACCAATTTTTTTTTTTTTGGCCAAGCACCCTGTGGTTGTTTGGCCATCAGGTCTGGTCGTCAGGTACACATGGGTTATGCAGTATGTGAAGTGGAAGCTATTCAACCGGATTTCAGCTCTGCTTTAGAGGTTCTCGCCACTCAAGCAATCTAATTTCTAGAAGTAATCATTTACTTCTAAATCAGATGTTTGAACGAAACTTATTTGCTTTTGATTTGTCCGCTTGAATAAGCTGTTTGAAGTTAAATGTAACGGCCCTCAGAGATGCTAGAAGGGTGTTTACAGTAGGTGAAACAATGACCTGTGGCTGCATCTCTAGAAGTGAGTAAAGAGGAAGAACATGACATTTTCTATACCAGAAGTCCAGAAGTAAGTTCTTTTTATCCTGTTTAACTAGTAAGATTTATCAATCAAAATCAATGTGTCTAAAGATATGCTTTCACCCTATCTGAACAGATGAATCCTTGAAGAATTTATTATATACATTAGGCCGGTGCTCAGCATATTCTATGATTTTATTTAGATTTAAATGTTGTCTTTTATTGGAATTGGACGTAGACAAAGTGGATTGAATTTGAGCGAGGTGATATTTGGAAGGAACTAACCAAGTTAGATAGATTTTAAAGTCCAAGGAAAGAACTTGAGATGTGCTTGAACGTGAAAGTTATGGTGATTTGGTCTCAGTGTTTTGTTGTTTTTACTACACGACAGTATGGCAATGAAATAGAACTGGATCTGTAAGCTTGGTTAGGATTGATATCTTACAACAATAGTATGTTCAGAGTATCAATCCCCAAGTTTGGTTGGTATGTTGTGATGTCACTAGTGTGTAGGAATTATTGTTTTATGTTCTTATACCATAGAGAATGGTCATTCCTCATCTCTGTCTCACAGAAGGTCTCATGGCGCAACGGGGAATGATGTTGCAGGATGCAATGGGTGCGCGACGGTTGCTATGAGGATATGCCGTGGTATTGGGGAGCGTATGAATGATCCGCACATGAGACATATTGGCGTTGTGAGATTCAATTGCTCGGTGGGGTCGTGAATTGGTGCAGATATTCGGCGACCCTCAACCCGTCATTGACAAGGCGAGAGTTGGGATGCCCTAGCTGGTGCTGTCTTGACAGCAATTCGGCATATGTTACCCAATATGCACTTGGTTTGAACTTTGTACGTAGTGATTTTTCGGCAAAGTGAGCTACTTGGATGAGTTTGATTTCAGTAAACAAGTTATAGGTGGACAGCTCCTTGTTCCTAGTGATAAAGAAAAAGGCTAGAACTGAATTGAGACATGATGACTGATGAGGTATTCCCATGCTGAATTTTTGCCTGTTGACAGTGAGAAAACGCAGCAGAAAGACGCGATCTCAGATAGGCAGATGCTTGTATATAACGGTATCCAACGAACCAATTGAAAGCAGCCGGTGCAGGCTAGTTTGTAGATTAGTCATCAGAAATACCAACCAACCAAATCATGGTACTGCATTACTACATGCGCAGCTGGGTGCAGCCGTGTCAAAACTGCATCTAAAGTGAAGAGTAATTGCGCAATCAAATGATGGGAGGGTTCCATTATGGTCTCTTCTTTCTTTTCCACCCACCCACCCCACTAGCCATCTCCCTGTTCTCGCGTTCATACATGGTGCTGCTGCTGCTAATAGTTCTCTACCAAGTGTCCAAATGAACTCTTCTTCAGTGAATAATCCTCCACTACTATATATACACACCCTCCTTCCCCAACTAGCTAGCACACACAGTACTACATTACCCAATCTCTTCATTTCCAGAGCCCACACACCATTCAGATTAACTGTTTGCTTACATACACGTTAATCATGGCTGCCGGTAGAGCGAATTGGCTTGCTGCTGCTGCCATACTCTCCCTTATGTTCCTTTCTAATGCCAACATGATGATGGTGGAAGCTGCGGGACGTCGAGGCGGAGGCGGCAGTGCCTGCGGGAAGACACCAATAAGGGCTGCAGCGGCTAGCCTGAGCCCGTGCTTGAGCGCTGCTCGGAACGCCAGAGCAGCTGTGCCGCCGGCGTGTTGCTCGAAAGTCGGCGGGCTGATCAAGGCCGCTCCCAAGTGCCTTTGTGCCGTGCTGCTGTCCCCCTTGGCCAAGCAGGCTGGAATCAATCCTGGGGTCGCCATCACCATCCCCAAACGCTGCAACATTCGTAACCGCCCCGCCGGCAAAAAGTGTGGAGGTAATGTTAGCTATTGGTGTGACAAATTTGTTAAAAATCAAAGTTTGACGACGGACTGATTAACATTGTATTCATTTCTGTGCAGGCTTCACACTCCCATGAGGCATGAGCTAGCACAGCTGGGTGCCTGGGGCTGCCTTGCGTTGGAAGTAATCATGGTTCCATTATATCAGAAGTGCCGGCATTGCTAGTTGCTTGCTGTAGAAGGAAAATGAGTGTCAAATAAAGGGCTGCCCTCGTAGTACGAGGCAACGTTTAGTATTTATTTCCCTATTTGCTGAGTTTTCTTATCCACAATCTGCCTGTTAAACCAATCTTTGGTCTCTGTATCTCCTCAGTTATGTCAGCTAATAATGATGATCTTAGTTAATCTCTGACAACATTACAGAAAAATCTTCCATCTATATCATCACAGGCGCCACTATACAACATTTCTGTACAGTATACACTATAAGGTGCTAGCTACAACAGGGATTCTGGAGTGAAAAAGATGACTAAATCAAAGGGGCATTACTCTCTCAAGTAGCTTGAAAGCTCTCCTTCAACCATTTTGACTGTGACTCGAGCCCAGCATCTCTCAACGCATTCAAAGCCGTCGCATAAAGCCTCGCATCCAAACCAGTCCCAACCGACTCCATGTCTCTTAACAGCTTCACCATCTCCTCTATCAAACTCATCTTCGAGAATACACCCACCATTATCCCTCCCATCTTCCTATCCACGCCATCACCATTCATCACCGTCCTGTACTCCTCGAAATACTCAACACACTTGTCGAAGTCCTTGACCTTGTTGTACGCGCTCACGAGGCTGGTGTAGCTCACCTTGTCAGGCCCGACTCCCTTCCTCTTGATCTCGCTCCATATCTTCTCCACCTGCCTCACATTCATCGCCCTACCGTGCATCTCAAGCAAACAATTGTACACCCAAATGTTGGGTTTGCACTTCCTCTCCTTCATTTCCCCCAACAGCCGCATTGCATCCCCAACTCTACCCATCTTCCCGTACATCGCAATCATGGTGGAGTATGCCACAACGCACCTGTTGAAACCCTTCTCGCACATCTCTGCGAACACCTTCTCTGCTGTGCGATAGTTTGCCACACGGTAGTATGCATTGATTGCTGATGCATAGGTCACCTGTCCTGGCTCGTACCCTTTGGTTATCATCTCCTCGTACACTTTGATTGCACCAGAAAAGCCTCGCCTTTTGGCGAAACCGTTCAGCACCGTGCAGAACACACAATCGGTAACCTTGAGGTTTGCATCGTGGCTCATGGTGCTGACGAGGTCGAGTGTCTTCTCTACCTGGCCTCGCTCGATGTACATCGAGATGAGCTTCGAGAATGCCTCTGGGTCTCGCAATGCATTCTTCTCTATCGCTTCGTGAAATAGCTCTTCAGCTTCTCGAGCTTGATTGGAGTCGGCAAATGAGCATATTAACGAAGAGTATATTTTGGGATCCTCTACAAGCAAACCATCTTCCTTCTTATTCCTTCTCAAGTAACCGAGAGCTTCCGAAGCTCTACCTGATTTGGCTAATGACTCAATCAATACTCTGTAAATTTTGGCCAGCACTTCTAGTTTCGGGTCGAGCTCTTCAGATTCAAACTCGTGAAACAAGGCAACCACTTTCTCTACATTGCCCAATTTCTGGTGTGCCTTCATTGCCTGGTAATAGCAGCCAGAATTCAAACCGATTCCAGACGATTTCATTCTACCATGCAATCGAATCGCGCTGCTGTACATGTGCAGCTTGTTGTAACCTTTCATGGCGGAATTGAAAGCTAAACCAGAGACTTTAGGGTTGGATTGGAAAATCGCGAGGAACCGTTCGCAAATTCTGAATTTCCTAGCTCGGATGCAGTTCTCGACCAATGTAGAGCAAGTGTAAGCGTCGGGGAGAGTACCGTACCTCCTGAAATCGTCTGAAAGCAGCAGAAGCAAACGATCCCAGTTCTTGGTTCGAATCAGGTACTTCACCAGAAACTTGACGACGGACTTATCTGGCTTGAAACGTAGGTTTTCTTTGGCTTTCCTGTAATGGTCGTAAGCCAAGGCTTCGGTTCTGGGATCGTGAAGCAACCCACGAAGAAATGCGTTGAGATTCTCTGCATCTGAAGCCGGGTAGGGCTGCTGCTGGTGGTTGTAGTCTCTTGGAAGCCGGAAGTGATTGCTACGGAGATTTGGGGGTGGTGCTTCTACTTCTTCTTTCTCTTCTGCTGCCAGCACTGGAGCAGACGGGAAGCAGGACGATTTGATATGGAAGTTGGAGTTTGGGCGGAAAGAGAAGAAGCTCTTGGGTTTGGAACATGGTGGGAAGCTTTTGGGTTTGGTGGAGCAAGTGATGTGCGAAGGTGAAGAAGAAGAAGCGACGAGTGACCAGTCAGGAGAACAGGGGATCGCCATGGAAATGTGGTCTCAAAGTGGGTGGGGAGAGATGGTTTGTGAAGAACCAGAAGAACGGGCGCAGAATAAAGAGGAATGGAATGGCGGGGAAATTGGGTGAGCGTGGGGAATTCTGAATCATGAGTTGTTAGCTTTGATTTTTAGTTTCTGGGTGTGAAGTTTTCTGAACAGTGACAGAGTCAAGAGCGAGGGAGTGGGGCTGGGAATTAAGTGGTGGAGAAAGCTTTGAGGAATGCAGAAATCCGTGATGGAAATGGATTTTGGGGAGGCAAGTGGATTCTGTGAACCACTCAGACAGCGGCACGTGGAGAGTTGGGAGACATAGGGGATATATTCTGTTTTCAATTCTGCCACGTCCGCCAAAACATTTTAACCATGCACTCAAATTCGTCAAAATATCAAAAGAAAACGATGCATTTAATTTCATACTGTCAATCACACTCAACTCGAAGACTTCTAAAAAATATTTAGTATGGGCTCTATCACAATTCATACATGCTTAGGGAAAACACTCAGTTTTCTCCATCATGATTCAAGTACAAAAGAAATCATACTATGCACAAGAAAAAGCGGTTACCTAAAACAATCTATTCCTACTCAGATCCCCCAATAATACCTATCTACTCCTAGTTAATGCTTCTCCACAAGAAATTAGCTCAATGCCCTCTCCTATAGTCATGTTTCTTTCTCTGTTACCTTAATCCAACATCAGAAAGGATTACTCTCAAGTGTAGAGGGCGGACGAAAACATGAACAACCCACTCACCTGTGTTTGAATTTCTTTTCAGATCAACAATCTGCAACAGAAAAAACCTCAAATATCGTCGCCATGATCCACAGTCTCCTTTCTCTATTATCCTCACCAGCTGAATAAAGAGCTAAGCCCTTTACCACCCTGGTTACTCGATCCATTCTCCTCAATTGAGTCAGTCTCACTGTCAGTGCCAGATGCCTCTTCGTCCGAACTGCAATCACTTGGAAGGAGTTGAATTCGGTCAGCATTGTTGATCAGCCAACTGGCCACTTCAGGAGATGATGCCCATTCTCTCATTGCTTCCTTCGTTGACTCCCGTGTAAACTCATCCCATTCTTCCTTTGTGAACTTCTTCCTCTTTGCTGTTTTATGGAAGGTCGAGTAATAATCCTGGTCCATCACAGTGCTGCCATGCTGCGCACGAGCAGCAGATGATGATGTCACCAAACCTGTGAAAACAAAACAGCAGGAAAAATTACATGAAAACCATTATGCAACTTGGTTCCGTGGTACAAGTAGCTGAGGAAAATGTGTATACCTTTGATTGGGGAGTTCATCCAAGCACCTGGCATTCTCCCTCCAGGGCTCTTTTTAGCTGCTGATGCAGCTGATCTGCTGTAGAATTCAGCACGGCCCTGCTTTCCTGCACCCGTCCCTGACTCATACCTACATATAATCAGAAAGACTTGTCACTAGATTATAAAGTGGAAAGACGACAGGAAATACAGAAACTATTTTGGTGGAACTTACCTAGGTTGCCTTAGCCACTTCATGATAAGGAAAGATATGGTGTACGATAAGACCACGGTAAGCAAAGCTAATGGAGGATCAGGTGTGCTCTGTAAACCAACAAAAAATTATCCAAGTTAATTCTTCTCATTTTCACATTTTGGAAATACTGAGGCTTCACCAAAGCATGCCAAAAACATATCAAAGTTCTAATGAAAGGACATATCAAAGTTCTAATGAAAGGAGATACAATGAGATAGATAGATATGCGACACCTGGAAGATAAAGGTGGTTGCAATCGCTCGAATAGCCCATTTAACAAACTCTGCTACACCACGGTCCACACTTCCATCTTTTGCAACAACAAACTTTCTAACCATCCAATACCCTAATCCTGCTCCTGCAAGCACAATGCCTACTAATACAAATATGTAGACCTGCAAATAAGGTAAGGCCACGTCAGCGGAGGATGAGTTCCAGTTCATAGAAATCTGCTTGACAAGAGCCATCAAACATAATATATACTTAAAATAATGGCTCCTATTGTTACAGCAACATTTAGCAAATCCTGAAATGATGTTCAGGGGAACTAAAAAATAAAGTGAAAGTATGAGACTGAATTATAACGGAGTTCTATGCCTACAAATTTGACAATACATAAAATGGGATCTTCCTAGAATACAATAAACAATGCTATTCAAATTGCGGGCAAGAAACGAAGTTTAGGACTCACCGGATTGTGCATCTCCTCATCAAGCCCAAAATTAAGAAGAATAGATTTGATGAGCTCTGATATGTGATGCAAAATGAAGGTGCCAACCCCAAGCTGTAACCAAGAATTGAGTGAGAATTTTGTCCAGTAACAGATTAATAGAAAATAAAAGGTACCATCTCTGAGTCTGCGCACCACTGATCCATATATTGAGAGATACATGATGTTTTTCCTTCCAGTCGGCAGTAATTTCATGCCCTGCAGATTAGACAGTAAGTGTTACGTATGGAATATTAAAACTAGGAGGATGAAACAGGAAAATGATTAAGACACAATATTTCAAACGGACCAAATTAAGACACAATATTTCAAACGGTCTGCCATCATTCAATAAATTAAACACCCCAAACATAGGTCGAACTATGATTTTCTAGATAAGAGTTTGGAAGTTTCTGTATAAGCAAACAAACAAAATCATGCACTAATTTTAATCACATTATATTGAGACAAAAAAAAACCTGCTCAGGAACTAGCATTTGGAGGGTATAAATGGATAACTAATCACATTATACCGAAACCAACGAAGAATACCAACTTTGGGATCATAATGGACTCGATGAACTCTTGGGAACAAGTAAGTTCACCCTTTTTCCTTACACCATCAAATAAAAGCCGAAGAATAATCCAAGGTAACAAACAGTTGCACAGAATGAGACAGTGAGGAGCTATACGAAGATTTGTACCAGAGAATTGAGATTATCCCATATACCTGAAATAGAAGAATGATGATGACAAGGAAAATGCCAATAGCCATTGAGGTGCTATAATAGAAAGGAACCCAGCTGCTGACAATTGGTGCCAGCAATAGCAATATGAATCCCACTGCCAGACACAAGAGACGCCACCGTTGTGATTCTGCAATCCAAAAGAAGACCAATGATAACCAATGACATCTAAGAGGACAAGGAGTTGAACAAGGAACATAAAGATAAACAAAGGGAAATATTACCTTCTTTAAGCTGGACAGTGATACCACCACCAGATATTCCTCCAGTGGTCTTCACATCAATATATCTCTCCTGATAAGGAGACATGACTGAACTCCATTGAGCATTTTGAAACGTTTTCCAATCTTCTTTCTCGCAATCACACCGTCCAAGTGAAGCATTCCTGAATAATCCTTGACAATCAGATCAAAACAGGAAAACTGCAACTGAGGTTTCCTTAATGTCAAGATATATATTCACTTACCGGTGGAAACAAACATGAATCCTTCGATGAAGTCTTTCAGGGATAACAGGAAAGGGTGCGAGTGTAACCCTGAGAGAGCTAGAATAGCTACCAAGTTCCAGTCTCGATTGACCTGAAATTTTAATGCGTTCACAGAACAATGCTTCTTTTGGATCTCGGCCAGGTGAATGTCCATACTGAGAGCTAAACTGGATTCTTCTTGGGTTTCCTAGATCAACAACTGCAAGTAAATTGTAAGTTAGTTCTCATATTGGCAACTAAGGCAGCAAAGTAAGGTTTCTCGAGGAGCTGCGCAATAAATCGGATCATGAACAATCGTGTCTAAGCCTTGCCCTTGACGATTACAGCATACTGCCACAACTAGCCTTGCCCTATCATTATTCTCTCCAGCGAGAGTATACAATCATTTGCATTCTACTTTGCCCTACAAAAATGCTCGGCATATCACCTAAATTGAAAAGATCGATGAAATTAAAAGCTAAGACGCAGGGCATTTACAGAAGTGAATACTCAACAGCCAAACCAACTCCTAAGAACCATCAACCACCGAGAAGTAATAAGCGGAGATATCCAGGAACTCAAAGAGGAGAGGTGGAGCGGGAAGCGAGTTCTTGGAAACCAAAGCAGCGAACAACTAGAAAAAACCACCGCATTTGGGTTGTGCGAAGAGAGAAATTTGACTGAAACCCATTGTACCTTTCAGTGTGTTCGTTTCGTAGGCTGCTGCACGAGAAAGGACGACGATGGAAGACGAGAGAAGAAGCGCAAATAGCGGCAGTGGAAGCGAAGCGGCCATCTTCGCCCTTGGGCGTGAGTGGAGTACTCAAGAATCCACTGAAGAGAAATAAAGAGGCAGAAAACGCGGTGCCCCACACGCCGGGGAGAGGCGGCAAGTAGGCAACTCTCCCTGCGTACTAATTACGATTCAATTTCCGTCTTCCCAATATTAAAATTATCTATTCTAATTAGGAAGTGGAAGCTAAGAGCAACCGCTACTAGAGGTAGAGGTGACAATTGGATCGAATTGGTGGATTCATGGATTGGATTGGTGGATCCATGGATCAAATGGAGTGGATCCAATGAATTGGTGGATTCATGGATTGGATCCAATGAATTGGTGGATTGATCCATGAATCCAAATGACATCCAAGGTTTGGACCAAAATGTAAATTTTGAAAAGTTTAGGTACTAAATTGTCATAATGAAAAATTTTAGGTACCAAAATGTAATTTTCCAATTATATTTTTCGTATAAAATATAAATTTTAGGTACCAAAATGTAAAATATAAAAATATAGGTACCAAATTGTAATTTGTCATTTGGATCTATGGATTGATCCATGAATCCACCAATCCAATTAGATTTGGATCAAATGGATTGGATTTAAATGGATTGGATTATGTGGATAATTTGGTGGATGGATTGGATTGGATTCATGGATTTGGATCCTAATTGCCACCTCTAACCGCAACGCCTGTCATTCTCTTCCATTATGACGTGGCATGGGGTCCTACCTATTTCATGGTTGCGGCCCCTCTTTCAGGGAGCAGATCTGGTGAGTAACCTTGTGGTGAGTAACTCCATGCATAACCCAATAAGAATCTGCCACATCAGCGCCTCCTTCTCTCTCATGGAAAAACCATTAATTTTCTTTCCCTTAATCTTTAACGGACGATTTCTCACTCATTTTAACTCGGAATTTAATTTTTTTGCACAGTTAGATCGGATTAATTGTGCTCTTCAAAATGATATCCACTTTGATATTTTTTGAAATAAAAAAAATTTACCAGTTATTACCAGTATATACCATATGGTATTGACTGGTATTAAATAACAACATACCATATGGTATGAAAAATACCAGTCAATACCATATGTTGTTATTTAATACCAGTCAATACCATATGGTATTAAATAACAGCATACCATATGGTATGAAAAATACCACCTCATACTAGGGTGGTATAGTATGGTATGGCGTTGGTAACAAGAAGTTTGAAAAATTTTCCCCCAGAAAATTTTGAAATCCAATAGATCAATGATTAAATCGTTCTTTTTGTGCAAAAATTTCCGAAAATGACTAAACAACGAAGGAGATACCATATGGTATGGAGTTGGTAACGAGGGAGATGGAAAAAAAATTCTCAAAAAATATCATTTTGTAGAGAACAACGAACTCGTTCCATTTGTGCAAAAAAAATTGAAATCCGAGTTAGAATGAAGAAGATATGATTCAATTAAGAAAACTAGGGAAAATAAATTCCTTTAATTCTCCACCCTTAGATTTGCAGTCACTTAAAAGGAGGGTCCAGATTTGGTTACTCATTGTTACTCACCCTAAAGTTACTCACCCTATCTTGAGCCCCTCTTCCATATCATGACAGCTTCCATTTAATGGAAGAGCAAATGGAATGGATAGTAGGTCCCACTCCACTTTATGTGCTTTCTATTTTTTTTTTTTTTTCATTCCCTTTTGTGTGAGTTGGGAGAAATCATATAGGTTAGATGTAAATGTATAAATGTATTAAAAAGTAAGTTGGACCCATCATATGAAATAGATAGTGGATTTCATGAGGAAATGGAAGTGATATGTAGTGAAATGGAAAAAACTGCTGATGTGGCAGTAGGGGCCACATATGGAATAGAAATGGTATTTCATGGATGTGGATGGTCTAACTAAGAATGGTAAATTGCAAAAGTGGTCACTGAGATTATCATAAAATTTCATGTTTAGTCGTTAAAAATATTTTATTCCATTTGTGGTCATTATGATTAGTTAAATATTTCAAATTTGGGTCACTCTCCGTCAACTTCCGTTAGTCTCCGTTAACTACGTCAATTTGTTGCTTACGTGGCTAAAAGAGATGCTCATTCACTCAATTTCAACATGTGAATAAGAGTTTGGTCTAATAGCATTTTTGTTGGTGTTCAACCTACAAGTCATTAAGTTCGAAACCTTTTTTTCTTATATAGCATATAACCATAAAGACAAGAGAAATTTTACAATGCTATATAGTATTGGTGCTATAGGGTTTTGCCTTTATGGTACAACATAAAATTGTACATTTACGTTATGATACAACTTCATATTGTACCTATACTTTTTGTACAAATTCTTTTATGGTACAACTTGAACTTGTACCTTTATGTGATGGTACAACTTCAAGTTGTAAAGTTGTACCATAACATAATGGTACAAATTGCTTTATGGTACAACCCAAACTTATACATTTAATATTATGGTACAACTTTGAGTTGTACATTAAAACACCAATGCTATATAGCATAGTAGAAGTGCTCTAAAGACAAACCTATATCACTCTATTAAAAAAATTAAATACTAATAAACTAGAATTGTTGTCGACGCCATCTCCTCCAATTGAAGAAACGAGGTAAATTGCAAGGATGGTCACTGGGGTTACAAAAAACGTTCATGTTTGGTCATTACGAATATTTAATTTCATTCTTGGTCACTAAGATTAGTTCAATAGTTCAAGTTTGGTCACTCTTCGTTAACTTTTGCTGATGTGGCAGTCAACTTTCATAGTTGATCGTTAAATGAATGACATGGCTATCAAACAATAATAAAAAAATAAAATTCACTCTATAATAATTCCACCTCATTACACATTTATTAAAAAATAAATTAAAAACCTCATTTCTGCCCCCTTTCTCTTCTTCCCATTTCTTTTCAACCAACTCCCCATCAGTTTCAATCCACATTCATTAAAAAATAAATTAAAATTAGTCTTGCAGGGTTTCCCCTCCAGTTGTGAATTGTGATTTCCCTCCCTAGAAACGGCTCCTCATCGGAATTATTCGCCGCCATGGGGAGAAGTAAGGCCCGCCGTCGTCTATATCTCTAGTCCCGCCGTTGATTTATACTTGTTGTTCCGATGCCCGAACTTAACCCAATTGTTCGATTTCACCTTTGCTCTACTGCTCGATTCATCTGCTTATTCGTTTGCGTTTCAGTTTCCCGTCGGGAATCTAGATTTACCTTCATCTTCTGGTTTCGACTAGCTTAGGTCTCTATATAATGTTTTTTTTTTATAAATGAGGAAATTTTATTGCTACGGACAAAAAAAAAATAAGACAAAAATTCAACCAACAGTTGAAAAGAGCAAGGAAAGAAACAAAACTGAAAACAACAACAAAAAAACACTAAGAAGACCCCAAAAGATGGGACGAAAACTCAAACCAAGAACGACACAAAAAGAGAAAACTAAAAAAACAAAGAAAAACGCTCCTCGCATGATACTACATTACAACAAAAACACACTCAAGAACAAAAACTATCTAACTAGTGGATAATATCCGGAACCATTCCAGGAACACGTCATCTGTAATCAACTTTCGAGCGAGCATCCATCTCCCAACCGAATGAATGATCTTATAGCAAATGCTTCGTGGTGGTGACTTTGTATCTCTGAAAACCTGATGATTTCTTTCCAACCAAATAAGCCAAAACACTGCATGAGGAAGAAACCTCTTGCACCTATTAAATCGAGAAAGACAAACCGCACCTCTCCATGCTATCAAAAACATCTTCGGGTCCTCTGGAAATGGCCCAAAGATTGAAAAGACCTTCCGGAAGGTAGACCAAACAGTAGAGGCAAAAGGACACGAGAAAAGAATGTGAGAGACGGACTCCTCATTGCACTTACATAATGGGCATCGGTTAGGGAAGGTCATGCCTCTTCTACGAAGATTATCCAACGTAGATACCTTGTTATGAGCCGCCATCCACACAAAGCAACAAATTTTAGAAGGAACGAGAGGGATCCAAATAAGTTTGTGGGGGAAGGAACTATCTCCCTTGAATTCATCCTGTATGAGCTTGGTAGCAAAAGAGTGCACAGAGAACCCCCTCAAATTCTCGAGTGACCACACCAAAGATGGAGGCCCAGCGGTAATCATCAAGGGATGAAGAGTTGAGAGAAGCTGCATTAGATCGAGATACTCCTGATGTGCACCTCCTCGTAGTGCAATGGAAAGGGGAATTGTTTGAAACAACCTGTCTTCCACATCAAACATGTCAGAAACATACACGTCTAAGGATTGGGTAGCTGCTGCAATCCTTGGAAACTCTCTCACTAAGTGTTTCCCAGGAATCCACACATCATGCCAAAAAGAAACCCCATTCCCTCCCCCAGGATCAATATAGGCAAACTTCCAAAAGAAGGAACCCTCCTTTACAATATACTTCCAAACAGACCATCCAGAAGAACCCAAATTCCACCTTTGGTGCCAATCGGACTCACCTCTCCCACATTTCATCACAATTAACTTCCTCCACCATGCATCTCTCTCCATGCCGAATCTCCAAGCCCACTTTCCCAATAATGCACGATTCATGACCCTCATATCCAAAACCCCTAAGCCACCTCGATTAATAGGGGTTTTCACCACCTCCCAACGAACAAGGTGCAACCTTTTAGTCTCTCATGTACCCGACCATAAGAAATCATTGAAAAGCTTTTCACGTCTAGCAATAACTGTGACAGGAGCTTTAAAGAGGGAGAGGAAGTAGATAGGCAAACTGGACAACACACTTTTAAGAAGAACCAACCTTCCACCAAAGGAGAGAAATCTCGTCTTCCATTATGCTATTCTAGATTGAACTCTAGTAAGAACCGGTTCCCACACTGCAATTGAGGAGGCCCGATTACCTAAAGGTAGCCCAAGATAAGTTGCGGGAAAAGTTTCAACATCACACCCAAAGATCCTTGCAAAGCGAAGAGGATCTGACACCTCTCCAACCACCATCATCTTACTCTTGTGTAAATTCACTTTGAGCCCCGACACAGTTTGGAAGATAATGAGAGCTGTGAGAATGTACTGAACCTGTTCTTCCGATGCATCACAAAAAATCATGGTATCATCTGCATAAAGGATATGAGTAACCTCCCCCATCTGTGTTGTCTCGTCCATAAAGAAACCAGTTACCAATCCTTGTGCTCGAAGCATCCTAATGATCCCGGATAAAATCTCCATGACAAGAATAAATAGAAAGGGTGATAGGGAGTCACCCTGACGAAGCCCTTTCTCACTAGAAAAATATCCTGAGGCCTCCCTATTAACAAAAACAGAGAAGGTAGCTGTAGAGATACAACTCTTAGTCCATGTTATCCAAGTGATTGGAAATCCCATGCTCTTCATTGTAGATAACAAACACTCCCAATTGACATTGTCATAAGCTTTCTCAATATCCAGTTTGAAAACCAGCCCTGGTCTTCCACTTCTCTTTCTAGAATCAATCAACTCATTAGCGATCAAAGAAGCATCCAAAATCTGTTTATGCCCCACAAAAGCACATTGTTCCTCAGCATCTAATTCACCCATGAACTCTCGCATGCTCTCCATAAGCACTTTGGAAAGGATCTTGTACAAACTGGAAACCAAACTAATAGGTCTGAAATCTTTTATATCCTCTACAGCCTCCTTTTTAGGAATAAGACATAAGAAAGTAGCAGTGACCATCTTGGGGAGAACACCTGTACGATGAAACTCATTCAAAGCCTTTAAAACATCTTCCTTCACGATGTCCCAATGTCTCTTAAAGAAAATCATTGGAAATCCATCTGGTCCTGGTGCTTTATCTCCCGAGAACTTCTTTACTACATTCCAAACCTCTCCTTCTGAGAAAGGCTGCACAAGACTATCATGAGCATGTGATGGCAGAGAAGGGAAAGCCAACAATGAAGGAAAAGGCCTCTCACGTATGTCTTCAGAAAAAGAATTTTTGAAATGAGCCACAATAGCATTGGCAACTTCTTCTTGGCCCACACATATGGACCCATTTACCATAATGTTATCAACAAAATTTCTTCTTCTATTCTGGTTAGCCACTCGATGAAAAAATGCAGTATTCTGGTCACCCCACTTCAACCAAGTTTCTCTAGATTTCTGTCTCCAAGACATTTCTTCTCTCTTCCACAATCTATCCAAATGACATTTCAAAATAGCTCGTTGAGTCCTTTCTTCCTCACCCATCCGTCCACGTTCTTCTAATGCATCCAACACAGAAACCAATTCCAATGTCAATCTGATCTCCTCATCCACCCGTTTAAAAACTTCTTTATTCCACACTTTTAAAGAAGCTTTCAATTGTTTCAACTTCTTTGCACATAGAAAGAAATATCCATACCCTGTAATTGCCGACTCCCACCACAGTTTGAGTTTATTGGCAAAATCCTCATGATCAAACCACGTCGTCTCAAATCACCAAGGACGTAGCATAATCCTTTCATCACCACACGACACCAATAAAGGACAATGATCCGAGCATACACGGGTGAGAGCCCTCAACTTACATTCAGGAAAAGATTGATCCCATTGCGTCGAAATAAGTGCACGATCCAATCGTGACAAAGAAGGCCCCTCCCAGAAGTTAGACCATGTAAATCGAGCTCCCAACAGAGGCAAGTCTATCAACTCACTATCATTGATAAAATCATTAAAAAGATTCATCTCTGCCACACTCCTAGCTTCCCCAACCACTTCATCTTGAGAACGAACCACATTAAAATCACCAACAATACAAGAAGGAAAATCCCACCAATTCAAACAAGCATTTAATTCAGCAAAGAATGCTCGTCGCTCATTTGCAGCACAAGGACCGTACACATTAATGAGAAGCCAAGTAATATTGGTTGCCCTATGTCTCAACACCATTACCACACAATACAATCCAATCCACTCCCCATGAAGTTCAAAATCATCCTTATCCCAACCAATAAGAAGACCCCCTGACAAGCCGACCGATGGTTTTTCCACCCACTCTAAATTACGGTTATTGCACACAAAAGAAACCATAATATCATCCCATTCTTCAACTTTTGTTTCCTGTAGGCACACAACATTTGGTTTATGCATGTCCAACAATTCTCTAATCCTATACTGCTTATCCAAATCCCGCACACCTCTAACATTCCAAGATACCAATCTAAGCATCATGACGAAAGCGAAGAGGTGGTACAGACCTTGATCTTCTTCTTTGGCCACGTGGATACACAATGGTCCCCTCGACCTCAATCCGACGAAGTTCCATATCTTGCGGGGTACGGGGTTGCACGGTCCTTCTCTTGGATAGTGTTTCAACTATTGTCCTCTTCGCAATCGCATTTGCCTCTTCTATCGACTCGCCGCTTTTTAATCCTAGTGCCGAAGAAACCAAGCTACATTTTTCAAACATGGCCATAAGTTCTTCATCCTCTGCATGCACCTGGAACTCACAAGGAGAAGATATCACATCCTCATTATCACCTATTTCATTTGCTAGTACCACCTGAGGCATCCTGGGCAACTGAATAAATTTGATGGGTGAAACTGAGCCGCCTTCATATCCCGAATAAATCTGTCTACTAGCCACTCTATTGATCTGTCTCTTGCACATTGAAAAAGGATCAAATGTAGGCTTGGATAGAAAAGCCCACCAGAAACAAAATAGAAGATGTTTAAATCCATCACACTTAGGCCCAATTCGTTCAAGCCCATCAGACCCAAAATTAATAAGACTCAGGCCCTCATCAATTGTAATTGATTTGTCTAACACCTTCTGAAGCCCACAATCCATCTGAAGCCCTTCCATTTGAGAAGTCCACCTAGTAGAATTGTTCACTTCAAGCCCAACCTTATTTCTAACTCCACTCATATGCCACTTCCTATTAAATCCAATAAGCCCACCATTCTTCTCCACAACCCTATCCGCCCCCTCAACACTATCATCCACCCATACCTCTTCCAACTCCCTCAGCCCTGCCGAACCCAATCCTGGGAATGGCCTCTCCCTCACGCCAGCAGGAGATAAATCAACCCCATCCCTTGAGTCGTCATTTTCCAGCCAATCACTTTCCTTTCCACTCTCCCTCTCGATCTCCACAGAGCTAGGCCCTATATCGTTACTTTCTTGCAAGTTTTGGGAATCGTGTTCCTCCGAAATCCTCTCTGCATACTTTTTCTGCCTTGATGGAGTGATTGAGAGTAGAGGCCCCGCTATACCACCCTTGTTCACGCGCCCAACCTTGACAAACACACCACGCCCTTTGCCTTTCCATCCATGGAGAAACCGAGTCCCGCACTCGGAGCTTTGGTTTAACGACAGCTCCACAATGACTTTAATGGGGAAAACAGAGTTCTGAAAACAGACAGGGACCTCGTCGGTAGGGCTGCAAACGAGCCGAGTCGAGCCGAGTTTTTGCTTAGCTTGAGCTCGGCTCGTTTATAAATTTTTTAGCTCGAGCTCGGCTCGAACTCGAATTTTGATCATCCAGCTCGAGCTCGAGCTCGACTCGATTAAAAATAATCCAGCTCGAGCTCGGCTCGATAGAGCTCGGTAAATGCTCATTAACACATCTTGTCAAGCTAAGTACAAGTTCGGCTCAAAATAAGCTCGATTTGAAACCATTCTTGCTGAAAAATGTGTACAAATAAGAACATTAGAAATTAAAAATGATAAAAAGAACACTAGAAACTAAAAATAACATCTAACTTCCATACACATCCTTATTAACAAGATAATTTTCATGTTTAGAAGAGTAATTAATCCTTCCACAAGCTTTAAACAAGCCAGCTCGCGAGCTTAGCTCAACAAGCCACCGAGTCAAGCTAGCTCACGAGCTTATTAAGCCGAGCATGGCCTAGCTCAAACTTGGCTCATTTACTAACGAGTCGGCTCCCGAGCCGGCTTGTTAAACAACGAGTCGAGTGTCGAACGAGTTTTTTTTTATTCGAACGCCAAGTTGCTCGCGAGCGGCTTGGCTCATTTGCAGCCCTACTCGTCGGGAATCATATCATTCGGCCGGACTCTCACCCTAACCTCATTCAAAGAAAGCCCCTCCTCTTGAACCTCCAGCACTTCTCCACAGTACATACCCAATTGATGAAACAGATCCCGGGATCGGAGATGAAGGGGAATCCCATAGAAGTGGATCCATAGATCCCCAGAGGAAGTCTGCACTCTAGATCTCCCTGCATTTTCGATCCATCTGTCTGCAAACACACGAAATCCCTGGAAAATCCATCGATCAAGAGCAATGATCTTATCAACTTCATTCTTGGAAGGGCATTGAATCATCCAAAGACCATCATTCAGAGGTTTGAGCGAAGTACAACACACGCCCCAATGCTTTGATACCTACTCTTCGAACGCGATCCAATCTGGGGTGCCTTCTCCCACCAACCGAAAAATCAAACACCTATCCAAGAAATTTCTTCTATCTTGAACCCCCTGTTCTGAAACACAGACCACTATATAATGTTTTCGATAGCAGTTTTAATGGTTGGTGGATTGATTGTTCCTTCTGGTTTTTGGCAGGGCCGGCAAGGTGTTACCGCCAAATCAAGAACAAGCCGTACCCGAAATCCCGCTTCTGCCGCGGTGTCCCTGACCCTAAGATCAGGATCTACGATGTGGGGATGAAGAAGAAGGGAGTGGATGGCAATGGGTCGGGTTGGGGCGGGTTTTGTCAAACCCAAACCCATGGGTTTATCCGCCAAAAAAACCCGGGGTAAAACTCGTTGGGTTTGAAAAACTCAAACCCAACCCAACCCGCTGGGTATCCGCGGGTTTATGGGTACCCGTGGGTTTTTGTGGAAAAAAATTTACAATAACAATTTTCTTTCAAAATAAAATTTTAACATCAATTTTCTCATACAAATTAATCATACAAAAAACACCAATCTAGATCATACAAGCAAACCGCAAATGATCAATACAAATTGTTCAAAATTTAAGATAAACATCTATAAACAATAAGATTAATTGAAAGATTCTTCCTCGTCAACTAAGTTTCTTCACTCTCCACTTCATAATATCAACTTCATTCTAAACAATTAGACAGAACAAATTATACATGTCTCCACAAACATAAAGAATATTAGTTGTTTAAGGAAGATATATTACTTAGACTATTAAATATACCGGGAAAGTAATTATATGTGTGGGCGGGTACCCATGGGTCGGGTTTACCTAAACCCAAACCCAACCCGACCCGGTGAATAGTGTAGCGGGTTTAAACCCGAACCCGGCCCAAAACCCGTCAACACAGATTTTACCCGCATTGACCGGATTGGGTCGGGTGGGTACCCGTGGGTTCGGGTTTTGTTGCCATCCCTATGACGATGAGTTCCCCTTCTGCGTCCACTTGGTGTCGTGGGAGAAGGAGAATGTCTCCAGCCAGTCTCTCGAGGCTGCCTGTATTGCCTGCAATAAATATATAACTAAGACGGCTGAGAAGGATCCTTTCCATTTGAGGATTTGGGACGGCGGGACTTACTTCTCCCAATCAGTTTCTTTTTACCAAGAAGAAAATAAGTTAGTAAATACAATCAATCATCTGGGAGTTTCAGATGGGCAGAAAGGGGAAGAAGAGAAAGGGGGCAATTAGTAGAAATTAGGTTTTTAATGTATTTTTTAATAAATTTGTAATAAGGTGGAAATTATTATAGATTAATTTTTTATTTTTATTAATTTTTAATAGCCACGTCACTCATTTAACGGTCAACTATGAAGGTTGACTGTCACATCAACAAAAGTTAACGGAGACTAACTGAGAGTGATCAAACTTGAACTATTGAACTAATCTTAGTGACCACGAATGAAATTAAATATTTGTAGTGACCAAACTTAAACGTTTTTGTAATACCAGTGACCATCCTTGCAATTTACCCGAAGAAACGAGATCAAAAAAATACCCTCAAACTTTCATTATGATATTGTCGTTGTTGATTAGTAGCTACTAGTGCATGTTAGTAATTAGGAGACACATCGTTAGTAAGGATTATGACTTATGAGCCTACCAATATGTCTAATCTCGAAATCACGAAATTTCTCAAAACTTGGAAAATTATGAGCCTACCAATATATATTTATGGCATACTATTTGTTGCAACCTTTTTACTATTTGTCGTGGACTTTACATTAATATCACTAGCTCAATTTTATTTAAATATGCGTTTGGTATCTAATTTTCACAGCTTCTAACACATATCCAAGTTCCAACTCCTCTCATTTGGAGAGAGTCTGAAAAAACCCGGCGTTCACTCGAAACTCGCCGAAGAAGCCAAAAGTTGCCGTATTTTTTTGTTATTATCTGTCCTCTTAAAGCCTCGTTAGTCATCGTTGTCCATAAATTTTTCTACATTCACGTAAGATGTGATTTTTCCGACGAGTATAGGTTGTGACAGGCCACCGGACCATAAACTTTGGGCTAGTGAAACCAGAAGGGAGCGAAAAAATTTCACCGGCAAATGACTATTTCTATTTCAACAACGGTTTGTAATTTTTGTTCTCGATTGATTATTTACGGTTGATGAGTACCGCTTTGTTACTCCTCATTTATAAATTCCTTTTCATTGGTGAAAAAAGAATAGCGAGATGCTGCCTCTCTTATCTCTTATCAACATCCTTCTCAAAAATTAAAGCATTATCAGTTCAAAAGATTGTCACTAATTACAAACTTTCTTTGTCCTATACTTACAGTTAGAAAATTTCTGTTCGCTCCCTTAAATCGAACACACGACCACTTGGTCAAACCAGCTCTGATACCATGTCATAAACCAGTTGGTCCCAATAACTCATGTTGTTGAGAAAAGGTTATACTGTATCTTATATCACACTCTTACGCACCGCTAGCTAGCGATGAGAAATACGATGATCATTCGCCGGACTTTATAGTTTATACTAATACGACCAATACGAGATAATGCCGGCGAATCTGGTGGCTGGCCGGCAGGTTATATTATTCCTGCCGGTTTACGTATTTGGTCCGTTGCCGGAGAGTGTAGTTTAGATGGGATGGAACAGAAACGCTAAACCCGATCGAGTTGAATCATCGAGAGTCGAGACGGTCATTCCCATCGGAAGAGATACAGCTAGCTAGCTAGCTAGCACTTCCTACTGCAGATAATATTTATAGAGATAAGATCTCAGCTGCATGTATTCATAGTCCAACTATACATTCCATAAAGGAAACCTACTAAACAGAACATCAACAACGTAACTGACGGCTAGCTAGCCATGTCAACGCCTTTGTCCCTCTTGCTTTCCTTGCTGCTTCTAATTTCCTGTAAGTACTGGCAGCTGAGCGAGTCGAGAATGGAAACCTACTCGGCGAAGAAGGATGATGCAGCTCCTCCTGCCAAGGCCCCGGAGGCGCCTAACAATAATAATAATAATGGCCCGAACGACGTCGTCCCCCGTGGAATCCCAGTGGCGGCAGTCATGATGGGCATAGATGATTATGAGTATCCAGTCTGTTGGAGTGATAAAGATTGCGAGTCAATCCTGCCATGCACAAAGGACACAAAGGCCCGTTGTTCCGATGAGGGTGCGAGCTGCGTCTGTCTTGGTTAATTCGTTTCCGGCGGATTCGACCTCTCCATTAAAGCCGGCGGTTATACGTCGACGTCTCTTTGCGGCCGGCCGACCGCTATTGCCCTTTCAATTATCCTTTAATTTCCTCAAGCATATTTTCGCAAACTACTTGGCGTTTGAGTTGAGTTTGAGTTTAATTTATTATCTTATCGAAATATACCAAAAAAAAGGGTTTCAACTCTTGCTACGACTTATAATTAGTTATGATCGAAACGAATGGCGAGTCGAGCTGAGATCAAGCATTTCCAAATCCTAATCAGGTTTGGTTTAAACAAAATTACTAGGCTCGATCAAGATTTAAAATGAGCTTTAATTCAATTCATTTGTGGAAAATTAAAAAAACAGTTTTATGTTCCTTTTGCAATCCCCGCTACATACAATACAACCCTAGTAAAAGAGTTTGTGTTTGGAACTTTGGATGTTGCAACTCCTTTACGTACGACTTTACGCAATACATGTTTGGAGTTGCAAGACACCATTTTTCTCTATAGTGATATTTTTTTTCTATTTTAAGAGACATATTCATATGATAAAATTGGAATGAGACATAGAAGGTGTGTATATTTGTTTTTATTTAAATTAAAATACTGGGAATATCATCAGTTTGGTCTAATAGTACTATTGTTGATCTTCAATCTATATATATAAAGTTCAAATTTCTTAAATAGCATGTAACAATAAAAACAAATCTATATCACTCTCTAACAAAATGAAATATTGAATAAACATTGGTTGAATCTAGAAAATTTGTCGAAGCCATCCCTCTCACTAGGATCAAGTGATCAGCATAGGAAAAAAAGATTCTCTCAAGATTTCATTATCACACTGTCGTTGTTGGTTAGTAGCTACGGATGCATGTGTTATGAAAATCAAGCCATAAATTCTTTTTTATGATTAAATCAAAATTGTATTAAGAACCGATACCAATAGCAAAAATCGCTATGGAGCCTCCCAAGAACAAACAGTTTTTGTACATAAACCCTCAAAAGGGAACCTATCAGAGCAACCAAATCAAAAACCAAACACTACCCCAAGCCCCTAGAATCAAAGCAGTCAATCAAAGCTTGATTCTGAAGACATCGACTCCTAATACTCCGTTTAGCAACAAGGAGAAAGTGAGAGGGACTCCTTGCATCGCTAGAACCATACAACCTGGAACGCCTTTCACGCCACACAAGGCTCACAATCACACTCCAACTCACTCGACAGAAAATAGCAGAAGGCATATCACCTCTCCACTCCTTCAGACACCACTGCAAAACAGCTTGCCAGTTATCACAAACAGGAGGGGAATCTCCCTGCAGAATGACCCTATTCAAATGCTGAACATAAGAACAAGCAGAGAACAGGTGCCATCGATCTTCCACACCACCAGGGCGTAAAGATAACTTTTTTTTTTGAAAAATTAATATTATTTTGCCATTATAAAAAAAACATAACTTTCTAAAAAATCTACAGATTCAGTGAATCCAAGTTCTGAATCCTGTTCTCCAAACGGCACCTAAAGAAAAAGAGGGGTCTAACGACTAACGAGTAAAGAGGGAGGGAAGGAGAATGATTTTTGGGTCTTCTATGCCTATTAATATATACTTGCTCATTAGTTAATTTCATTGAAAATTGTAACCCAAATTTATATTTCTTGCTTTGTGATTAATTTAGTCGTTTTGTGGTAATTAGGAGTAGTTCTCGCCATCAACGAG